TCCATAAGATTAGTGCCATGTCCATAAGATTAGTGCCAGGTCCCTAAGATTAGTGCCAGGTCCATAAGATTAGTGCCAGGCCCCTCAAGATTAGTGCCAGGTCCATAAGATTAGCGCCAGGTCCCTAAGATTAGTGCCAGGTCCATAAGATTAGTGCCAGGTCCATAAGTTCTAGGTCCATAAGATGAGTGCCAGGCCCCTAAGATTAGTGCCAGGTCCATAAGATTAGTGCCAGGTCCCAAGATTAGTGCCAGGTCCCTAAGATTAGTGCCAGGTCCATAAGATTAGTGCCATGTCCATAAGATTAGTGCCAGGTCCCTAAGATTAGTGCCAGGTCCATAAGATTAGTGCCAGGCCCCTAAGATTAGTGCCAGGTCCATAAGATTAGTGCCAGGTCCCTAAGATAGTGCCAGGTCCATAAGATTAGTGCCAGGTCCATAAGTTTCAGGTCCATAAGATGAGTGCCAGGGTTCATAAGATTAGTACCAGGTCCCCAAGATTAGTGTCAGGTCCATAAGACAGTGCCAGGTCCATAAGTTTCAGGTCTATAAGATTAGTGCCAGGTCCATAAGATTAGTGCCAGGTCCATAAGATTAGGTACCAGGTCCATAAGATTAGTGCCAGTGTCCATAAGATTAGTGCCAGGTCCCCAAGATTAGTGCCAGGTCCATAAGATTAGTGCCAGGCCCCCAAGATTAGTGCCAGGTGGTCCATAAGATGCCCAGGTCCCTAAGATTAGTGCTATCCATAAGATTATACCAGGTCCATAAGATGAGTGCCAGGTCCATAAGGATGCAGTGCCAGGTCCATAAGATTAGTACTACCAGGTCCATAAGATTAGTACCCAGGTCCATAAGATTAGTGCCAGGTCCATAAGTTTCAGGTCCATAAGATGAGTGCCAGGTCCATAAGATTAGTACCAGGCCCCAAGATTAGTGTCAGGTCCATAAGATTAGTGCCAGGTCCATAAGTTTCAGGTCTATAAGATTAGTGCCAGGTCCATAAGATTAGTGCCAGGTCCATAAGATTAGTACCAGGTCCATAAGATTAGTGCCAGGTCCATAAGATGAGTGCCAGGTCCATAAGATTAGTACCAGGTCCATAAGATTAGTACCAGGTCCATAAGATTAGTACCAAGTCCATAAGATTAGTGCCAGGTCCATAAGATTAGTGCCAGGTCCATAAGATTAGTGCCAGTCCATAAGATTAGTGCCAGGTCCATATGATTAGTACAACAAGGTCCATAAGATTAGTGCCAGGTCCATAAGATGTGAGTGCCAGGCCCTAAGATTAGTGCCAGGTCCATAAGATTAGTGCCAGGTCCATAAGATTAGCAAGTGCCAGAATCCATAAGATTAGTACCAGGCAAGATGAGTGCCAGGTCCATAAGATTAGTGCCAGGTCTCTAAGATTAGTGCCAAGTCCATAAGATTAGTGCCAGGTCCAAGATTAGTGCCAGGTCCATAAGATTAGTGCCAGGTCCATAAGATTGCACCAGGTCCATAAGATTAGTGCCAGGCCCATAAGATTAGTACCAGGTCCATAAGATAAGTGCCAGGTCTCTAAGATTAGTGCCAGGTCCATAAGATTAGTGCAAGCAGTCCTATAAGATTAGTACTAGGTCCATATAAGATTAGTACTCAGGTCCATAAGATTAAAGCAGGTCCATAAAATTAGTGCCAGTTCATAAGATTAGTGCCAGGTCCATAAGATTAGTGTCGTGTCCATAAGATGAGTGCCATGATAGACTATAATCATATCCAGATCATAAATTGCGTCCATAAGATTAGTGTCAGGTCCATAAGATTAGTGCCAGGTCCATAAGTTTGTGTCTATAAGATTAGTGCCAGGTCCATAAAATTAGTGCCAGGTCCATAAGATTAGTACCAGGTCCATAAGATTAGTGCCAGGTCCATAAGATGAGTGCCAGGTCCATAAGATTAGTACCAGGTCCATAAGATTAGTAATTGTGGTCCATAAGATTAGTACCAAGTCCATAAGATTAGTAACAAGTCCATAAGATTAGTGCCAGGTCCATAAGATTAGTGCCAGGTCCATAAGATTAGTGCCAGGTCCATAAGATTAGTGCCAGGTCCATAAGATTAGTACAAAGGTCCATAAGATTAGTGCCAGGTCCATAAGATGAGTGCCAGGCCCCTAAGATTAGTGCCAGGTCCATAAGATTAGTGCCAGGTCCATAAGATTAGTGCCAGGTCCATAAGATTAGTACCAGGTCCATAAGATGAGTGCCAGGTCCATAAGATTAGTGCCAGGTCTCTAAGATTAGTGCCAAGTTCATAAGTGATTAGTGCCAGGTCCATAAGATTAGTGCCAGGTCCATAAGATTAGTGCCAGGTCCATAAGATTAGTACCAGGTCCATAAGATTAGTGCCAGGTCCATAAGATTAGTACCAGGTCCATAAGATTAGTGCTGGGTCTCTAAGATTAGTGCCAGGTCCATAAGATTAGTGCTAGGTCCATAAGATTAGTACCAGGTCCATAAGATTAGTGCCAGGTCCAAGATTAGTGCCAGGTCCATAAGATTAGTACCAGGTCCATAAGATTAGTACCAGGTCCATAAGATTAGTGCCAGGTCCATAAGATTAGTGCCAGGTCCATAAGATTAGTGCTAGGTCCATAAGATTAGTACCAGGTCATAAGATTAGTACCAGGTCCATAAGATTAGTGCCAGGTCCATACAAGATTAGTGCCAGGGTCCATAAGAGATTAGTACCAGGTCCATAAGATTAGTGCCAGGTCCATAAGATTAGTGCCAGGTCCATAAGATTAGTACCAGGTCCATAAGATTAGTACCAGGTCCATAAGATTAGTGCCAGGTCCATAAGATTAGTGCCAGGTCCATAAGATTAGTGCTAGGTCCATAAGATTAGTGCCAGGTCACTAAGATTAAACACTTGGTCTGTAAGATTACGATCAGTTTCAGGCATAAAATTTAATTAGTTTCAGGTGTGAGAAGTAATTAGCTTTTAGGTGTGCGAATTGATTACTCTCATATTTCGAATTCCCCAAAACGAAGAGAAAAACTGACGTCAGATTTTTTCTTCAGAATTTAAGTAAAGACAGAACTGCAGTAAACAAAGACATGATGTGAATTAAACGAGGCTGGGTCCGTCTGTCTATATCTTTGTCATCGCCCTAACTGTCGAACGATTGCATGGATCACTTTCAAACTTTCAGATCATATTCGTGAGGTTTATTCCCATCAATCAAAGGTCAAAGGTCAAGATCACTTCAATCGTGACAAGTACATTCTTGACCTTATCTTTCGTGATCGTTTTTTGTGTCACTTCCTTTATCATCATCTGAACAACACTGTATTATTATATTTTCTCTAGTATAATGTGTGTGTGTGTGTGTGTGTGTGTGTGTGTGTGTCAGCGTTTGTGTGTATGTGAGTGTGCATGTGTGCGTCAGCTAATGTATGTGGAGGTATGTGAGCGTGAGTGTATATACATAGTCTTGTTTACATATGTGAATGAATGTATATGTAAACATCTAAATCAACTTTCCCCAATAACACACATCTAAACATTATACAAACACATCAACCGTAAACTCATACACTTCACATAAACACACAAGCAATACAAACTAAAGACACATACACCAGGTCACCTTAAACGAGTAACAACTCCATTGACCTTTGATCCTGAATGACCTGGTAGGCTGGTGCCAGTCGGTGTTTGCCTGTTAGTGTTTGTGTAGAGTTGCATCGAGTCTGGTGAGATCTGGCAACTAAAGAACCAGTTGGCGAGACGTGGCAACTTTAGGATCAGCTGATTGGGGTCACAATGTAAACAAAAGAGATTCATATCTGAGTCACCTGAAGTCCCCGCTTATAGACCGTGAAGGTCAAGTCAAGTTCGCCTTGCCATCCTCTTCTACTTGTATTAACACACCGTAAGTAGAAATAAACGAGATGAAAGATAATACAATAACAGGATTTGTGAGATACTGGTGTATGACATGTTGGGTTACAGAGAGAGAGAGAGAGAGAGAGAGAGAGTATCGTTACCTCTTGAACGTTGCGTAAATGTCAGATTGCATAAATTAATAGTTACTTCTATTAAGGATAAAACTAGACCAATGTGTGGTTGTGAGGCTTGTTTACTCGCACACACACACACACACACACACACACACACACACACTGTATTCATATCCATTAACTTGTTTGCCCTTATCACTAATTTTAGAAGAATCTACATATATTCACAGGCACATTCAACCTCTGAATGATGATTGGACGAGGACATCTTGACATCTTTGCGCTGATTGGTTACACTCATCGATTATCTCATTGGCTGATAAAAAACTTCTATTTTCTAATTGGACACAGGCATTATTACACTGACTGGACGAAGCTGTCTTTAAAGTGACTGTATTAAGACCTATTTCAAGTAACTGGACGAAGACATCTTGGAGTTGACTGGATTTAAGACGTTTTTGAGGTGACTGGACGAGAAAACATCACGGGAATGACCTGACTGTTTCTGTTCAGTTGCCAGTATTGCAGACTGTTACAGTGAGTGATGTTAAAACGGTAACAGTCAGGATAAGTAGATCATTATCCCTACTACTTCCTTAACCTAACCTAACCTAACCTGAACTACTCCTCTAATTTAACCTAACCTCACCTAACTTAACCTACCCTTGCCTACCCTAACCTACACTGATTTATTCAACTCACCCTAAGAATCACTGTACTGTACATTAACCACAGGATGACTTTATAGTAACATTAAATTAAAAAAAAAAAAAATACCACTTTTCTTCAATCACATTTACCTTCACTTTTTTTTGCCACTGTGTCATCATTAGGGCCCAAAGTACAGTACATATAGCAACATTCATATACAACAATAAGACTTATCAATGAAGTGTAATGTTTACTATTTACCTGAGGAAGGAATAATGTTTTGCAATCTGAAGTAATGTTGACAAGATTACAAATTACAATGTTTGTTTTAATCTTGCAGGTATATATAGGCGTGTCCTTGACCCTACTGGTGACGGAGGCGTTAGCGGGGCCGGATTCTCTTTCTGGATCTCCATGTTTTCATACTCACCATCACCATCAACAAGAACGTCACCATCACCATCAAGACTCAGAAGATGGGTCACTATACACGCCTCCTGACCCTCACTCTCACCCATCAAGAGGGCGTGACCTGTTCCCTCATGGAGAGTCCTCTGAGGAGGTGTCGGGATACACTTACCCTGTTCCTCAAGTAGCCTTTGATATCCTAGGCAGCACTGACCACACGTCAACGAGGCTCTTCAAGGACTCGTCTGAAGAGTTGTCTGGTTATGCTTACCCAGCCCCTGAACACTCCTTTGATCCTTCAGGAGGGAGTGACATGACGCCTCCTGATTCCCATGAGTCGGCGGAGGAGCCATCAGGTTACTCCTACCCAGTGCCTGAAAAAGCTTTTGATATCCTAGGGAGTGCTGACCTGACGCCACCAGGATCTCTTGAGGAGTCCTCTGAGGAGACCTCGGTAAGTAGTGAGCGAAGACCCTTAGTGTTCCCCGAGGGGTCCTCTGATGAGCTGTCTGGCTCCTTCCCGGCCACTCAACATTCCTTTGACAGCTCAGAAGAGAGTGACGAGGGTTCCTCTGGGTCTTCTGAAGAGTCTGTTGAGGACCCCGCAGGACACTCCCACCAAGTATTTGATACCTCCTCTGACCCTTCAGGAGAAAAACATCCGACACCAACAGAATCCTTAGAACAGTCCGAAGAAATTTCAGGATACTCCTATACGGTACCTGAAAAATCCTTTGACATCCTAGGAAGTGTTGAGATGGCTGCACCAGGATCTCGTCAAGAATCCTCTGAGGAAACATCGGGGTACGCTTATCCTGTCCCTGAAATATCCTTCAACATCTTGGGCAGTACAGACATGACGCCCCCTGAGGCCCTGGAGGAAGAGTCTCAAGAGTCTTCTGAACAAGTCTTCCCAGTGTTGGATCATTCTGTTGAGTCATCTGAGGGTGGTGATGAGTCACTCCTTGAGTCACACGAAGAGTCATCTGAGGGTGGTGATGAGTCACACGAAGAGTCATCTGAGAGTGGTGATGAGTCACTCCTTGAGTCACACGAAGAGTCATCTGAGAGTGGTGATGAGTCACACGAAGAGTCATCTGAGGGTGGTGATGAGTCACACGAAGAGTCATCTGAGAGTGGTGATGAGTCACACGAAGAGTCATCTGAGGGTGGTGATGAGTCACACGAAGAGTCATCTGAGGGTGGTGATGAGTCACTCCTTGAGTCACACGAAGAGTCATCTGAGGGTGGTGATGAGTCACACGAAGAGTCATCTGAGAGTGGTGATGAGTCACTCCTTGAGTCACACGAAGAGTCATCTGAGAGTGGTGATGAGTCACACGAAGAGTCATCTGAGGGTGGTGATGAGTCACACGAAGAGTCATCTGAGAGTGGTGATGAGTCACACGAAGAGTCATCTGAGGGTGGTGATGAGTCACACGAAGAGTCATCTGAGAGTGGTGATGAGTCACTCCTTGAGTCACACGAAGAGCCATCTGAGGGTGGTGATGAGTCACACGAAGAGTCATCTGAGGGTGGTGTTGAGTCACCTCTTGAGACGCAAGAAGAGTCGTCTGACGACTCAGTTGAAGAGTCCTCAGGGTACTCCTACCCGGTCCCAAAAGAAGCATTTGACATCCTAGGAAGCAGTAATCTCACGCCCCCAGGATCCTCCGAAAAATCATCAGAAGAGTTTTCAGGATATGCTTATCCTGTTCCTCAACAAGCCTTTGATATACTAGGAAGCAGTGACCTGACGCCACCAGGATCTCTTCAGGAGTCCTCTGAAGAGACCTCGGTAATTAGTGAGCGAAGACCCTTAGTGTTCCCCGAGGTGTCCTCTGAGGAGCTGTCTGGCTCCTTCCCAGCCACTGCAAACTCCTCTGATGAGAGTGACGACGGTCCTGAAGAATCACTTGAAGATCACTCAGGATTGTCTCATACAGTCTTCGAAAGCTCTTTAGATCCTTCTGCATCAACATCCTTTAAAGAATTCTCTGACGAGATTTCAGGATATTCCTATCCTGTTCCTGAACAAACCTTCGATTTATTAGGAAGAGACAGCCTGTCCCCGCCTCCTTCAATATCACTGACTCCTAGACCCACTTTAATATCTCGGAACTCACACTCAAGAGAAACAAGTTCAATATACTTCCCTCCTCACATTTCAGAAGAACCACCAAGGGTGAGCCACTCTCCCCCACAAACACCAAGAATAAGTTACTTCACCCCAGTTTCCAAATTTTCAGCCCAAGTACCATTAATTTCATCCTCCTCAGAGAGACAGTCACAGGAGGCCGCCGAGAGTGACGAGGCAGTTCCTGAGGCCCACAGCGATGAAGATGGAGACACAGCTCAAGGTTCTCCAGAAACAACTGACGACAACGAGAGCCAAGAACACGCCCCTGAACTCACACATTCCAGGACCTATAACCCGCCTCCGAGATTCTACCTGTCACCTGTAAGACAAACCACCGATAAGCCGCGAGAATCGTCGACATATTTCCCCCCGAGTGTATTTATGGCCACCAGCGCAGAACCACAAGTCACCCACAGACCACCACCACCACCACGCCATTTCACCAACCTCTATCAGACACCACGAGTAACACCCGTAGCCCAAGAAACCCATCACTCACGCCCTGAAGAATCTGAGGAATCATCTACAGTATTTGGTGATAGTGAGGAAGATGATGAGGAGGAAGAAGATCATGAGGAAGAAGAGGAGGAGGAGGAGGATGAAGATGAGAGAACTTCCACGAAGGAGTCGGCCTTATCTTCACAGGGGTCGAGACACACACACAGGTTAGTAAACAAAATATTAATAATTTCAGACGTAACAGGGACTCTCTCACCGTGAATTGTATATAAAAAAATAACAAGAATTACCAGGTACAATACATATTTTATCAGAAACATAAGTACAATTAGACTTACGTTAAAATTACAGGTAATACGACCATTAAATTATTCTTGGAATAGATAAAATAATTAACTGTATTCTTGTAACTCCTAATACATATATATACAGGTGTGTGGTGATAATTTCCTTGACACCTGCCAACACCTGGCCTCCCCTTATATGACCAATGGCCAGTGAACGTTTATTTTCATTATAAATTACTTCAGAGTTAACGTAATTACAAAAATACAATGACAAAAATAGTTGATCAGAAGTGTCCAGGGAATTTTGTCTGAAGTGATATAAGCAGCAAAAAAAAATACTGTACTGCTCTTATTCACACATTTGTTAAGTATTACGTCAGAGTTAAGAATATAGAGCGTTGTAAGACACTGATAGTCTTATCCTGTACAGTGTTCACATTTCAGTTTACCAGTTATCAAATTTATCAATGATAGCTTTCCTACGTTGTGTGGAGGATGGAACAAAGTGTAAAGAAAAATTAGAGAAAGGAAAAAATAACAGTGGAAATTAACCTTTGAAATATGATGCAATGGGTTGGTGAGTGAAGGACATTTTCACCTTGGCGTCTTAGAGAGAAGGTCTAATATAAACAAGACAATAATAATAATAATAAGATAGTGTAATTATTTTAGGTTTACGAAACTTCATTATTTTTTTCAGAATATAAACAATATGAACAAACGCGACAACAGCAAATTAAATAAAAACAAAGACGGAACTGAATTCATTGTCTTAATCTTACGTAACTTAAGTGGTTCTTGATGCTCAGGCAGTCGGGAATTTTCAAGATTAAGTATAATGAGATCGAGTAATTTAATTATAAACAATTAATTAGCCACAGTTATGATTTCTAATTCATTAAGGACTATAATTGTGTATTGGTTTATTTATTCTGGCTCAATATGCCCTTAATCTTAGTGTTCTAAGTCTGGTTTCTGTCCCAATTATCCCCAAACTTTCTCATTTTAGGCATTTCTTACTTAATTATCCCTAAACCTTCTAATTTTAATCATTTTTTACTTAATTATCCCTAAACCTTCTTATTTTAACCATTTTTTACTTAATTATCCCTAAACCTTCTTATTTTAACCATTTTTTACTTAATTATCCCTAAACCTTCTTATTTTAACCATTTTTTACTCAATTATTCCCAAACCTTCTTATTTTAGGTCTGTGTCTGGTCCACTAAACCTTAAATCGTCACGGTGTTTCAGGTCTGGTGGTGAGGGCAGCAGCCACAGAACATACCACACCTCAACACGGGTCTCGAGCGCAACAGCAGCAAGACGACTCTCACCAGGCTTCGATCCTCTCTCTCACTTCAGGATCAGAGACCACGACTTCAACGGACACTTCAACAGCGACGCTTACTTCACTATCTTGGACGAACGGAAAGGAAGTACTAGCCGTGTGCCCGCCGCCTACAAGTCGCCTTCTCCTCAGCGGTTCTATGCGGCCCCCGTGACAAGGAACCAAGGGACTGAGGAATCCGAAGAGAACCAGGAAGTTACCCAGCGTCCTAACCGGTTCTATGGATTTCCTTCAACAAAGAATGAGGAAGACAAGGAGGAGGAGGATGAGGAGGAGGAGGAGGAGGAGGAGGAGGAGGAGGAGGAAGGTTCATTAGAATCAGAGAAAGATACTGGTCGTTTTAATCCGTTCTTTAGAGTTCCTACCACAGAAGACAAAGAAGGGGGTTCTGAGGAGGAGGAGGAGAAGGAAGAGGAGGAAGAGGAGGAGGAGGAGGAGGAAGAGGAGGAGGAGGAGGAGGAAGAGGAAACGTCTTCATTCCATCCTAGTCGGTTCAATAACATTCCGGTCACACAAAGACAGGAAAAAGCAGACATAAGTGAAGAAGAAGAAGACAAAGAAAAGGAAGAGAGAAAAATTTCCTCTTTTGCCAGTCGATTCTATCAATTTCCCACAACGGAAGAAGAAAAAGAAGAAGAAGAGGAAGAAGAAGAAAGTTCCGAAGAAAATAAAAGAGTTCCTGCAAGTACCAATCTATTCTACAGCGTCCCCACCAGGAGACTTCAGGAGGTAAAACTGCCGGACCACTCACGCGATAACCTCAGGAGAGTCACTAACTTCTTCAAACTTCCTACTTACGAGGACCAGGAGGAGGACGAGAGGGGTAGTGGAGGGGATGGTGATGATGATGATGATGATGATGATGATGATGATGATGATGACGAGAGGGGTAGTGGAGGGCATGGTGGTGATGATGGTGGTGATGATGATGATGAGGACGAGAGGGGTAGTGGAGGGCATGGTGGTGATGATGGTGATGATGATGATGATGATGAGGACGAGAGGGGTAGTGCTGGGAATGGTGGTGGTGATGATGAGGAGGAGGAGGAGGAGGAGGAGGGAGAAGTTGAAGAGTCAAACGATAATGGTTTTCATTCAGGTTATCGTTATAAAGTCCCTGATATAAAGTTCGAAGAAGGAGAAGGAGAGGAAGAAAGAGACGAAGAAGAGAAGGAAGGAGATGAAGAAGAGGAAGAAATAGACGAAGAAGAGAAGGAAGGAGATGAAGAAGAGGAAGAAAGAGACGAAGAAGAAGAGGGAGGAGATGAGGAAGAAGAAGGAAGTCTTGAGGAGTTTTCAGGATATTCTTATAAAGTCCCTGACATAAAGTTCGAAGAAGGAGAGGCAGACGAAGATGATGAAGAAGAGGAAGAAGAAGAGAAAGAAGAGGAAGGTGAAGGTGAAGAAGAAGAGGAAGATGAGGAAGAAGATGAGGAAGAAGATGATGATGATGATGATGATGATGATGATGATGATGATGATGATGATGATGACGATGGAAGAGAGAGAAGTTTTTCGCCATACAACTTCTTCAGGTTACCGTCGGCCGCGAGTAACAGGAAAGACTCTCACGACTCTGAAGAAAGCAGCCACTCCCACGCATACACCCCCAGCAAGACTCGTCAACCCAGCAGCTCCGGAGGCTTCTATCCGACTCTGCACAAAGTTATCCGGAAGGAGGAAGACAATGAGGACGAGGAGGAAGATGTAGAAAGAGGAGAAGAAAGCGAGGAGGAGGAGGAGAGCGAGGAGGAGAAGAGCGAGGAAGAGAGTGGTGAACTTGACATCCGACATCCTGTATTCCTCATCTTAAAGAGTCATCCCACACGACAGGGTTATAAATACACTACCAGCTTTACGGGTTCTGATCACAGTGGGGAAGACTCTGGTGAGGATGACAGACTGCTCTTCTTGCCTTACATCACGGAGAATGAAGATGACGGTAGGGCTCTCGGCTACCTGCAGTTCCCGCCCTCAGACCTTCCTGCCTTAGGTCGCCTGAGTGATCTCCGGCCCACACAGCTCACCCATGACCTCTCGGGCTTTATCACAAACCTCAACACTCACGGCAGTGCCCGATTTTTGTCATATCTCACACAAGGTGTACCGGAGGATGACGACGATAATAGCAGCAGTAGCGAAGAGAGCGATGAAGATGATAAAAGTGATGCAGATGATGACGACGAGAAAGACGAAGATGATGAGAAAGACGAAGATGAAGAGGATGAAGATAATGGTGGAGAAGAACACGGAGAAGATGAAGGAGACAAAGAGGAAGAAGGCAAGGAAGAAGATGAAGAAGACAGTGAGGGTCGAAAGGGGTACACCCCAAGCCCCTACAGAGCCAGGCCGTGGGCCCCACCATCACACTTCAGAGCGTCAGGAGGGTCACCTTCCTCACACTCCGGGAGGAAAGTCTCTACCAGCTTCAGTCATTCTACCTTTTTCCCCCCACGTAGACCTCTCTCCAGCCCTCATCCCTCTCTTCAACCTCGCACCAATCCATTCTCTGGTGGGCCAACAGTGACGTCAAGGCCCCAGCCCTCCTATAACCACCGTAGAGAACGACTGTTTACCCCCAGCAGGAGATATCAGTCAGAGAGAAGAGTAACATCACCACCTGCTGTGAGACGTTCAGGAGGCTTTGGTGTGCACAAGGTCCCTAACAGACTGGCCGTGGTGGACAGTGACTACACCGTGACTGAGGGCGCCGGGTACCTACAGATTGGTCAGCCAGTGTCCATTATTTAAGAGTTCCGGTGACGCTGGCTCCAGTAAATACATCTTACATAATATGACAATAACCTGATATTTCGTGAATCAGTTATCCTCCACAACGAAGACTTTTATAGCGAAGAAAACAGTTGCCAATTCAGCAGCTGAGTCGTATATTTATCCAATTAGATGTTGTCTTAATTTAAAACAAAAATAATTCAATATTTTTTGTAAAAGTTCATTCTACTATCATGACTCACTTCATGTTCACTAAACTTAATTTTCTCCAGTTTCATGTAGCCACAAGAAATAAAATATATTTATGTTATATACAGGATTTTCATCTTTGGTACAGTAGTCGTTAGGCAAAGTCATGATGATATTATTTTTATATGAAAGTTAATATATATATATATACATATAAAATCTATTAATAATTAATTATTTATATCATAAGTTTTTACTGGACGGGAGATATTAAACAATGATGTTACGAGGGAATTTATGTAATGAATTGTATGCTGGTTCTGTATGTGTACGTGTATGTGTATGGAAAATCTGGACACAACTGAGTGGTGATAACTTGATAACTTACTGAAGTTTTCTCAAGGGGAGGCATCCACCAGTGAGATCCTAGAGGGAGGAGCAACAGTATATAGCTAACAAGAGTTCCACTGAGTAGAAATATTAGTACCTGATCATGAATATCCCCCCCCCCCCATCAAAAAATAAAAGTTCTTTCATAGTACACCGCCATAACCTTCTCTCTTGTTTGACTAAGAATTTTCACGACGATGGCAGTGTTTTGTTTGTTGTACTCACTCGAAACTACTCAACTATTTACTCCCAGTGATGTGTTACACCCTCTCACGTTGGCTCACTGTCTGGCTTTTGTTTACGTCTTCCAACATTGTTTGCGATATATATAAAAATGACAAAAAATTTCATGCATCTCTTTTATTTTTTTTTTCGGGGACAGTTTATGACGGCTTCTATAATCATGCTTGATGTAAGTATTTATATAAATATCTATGGTAATATATATATAGTAATGTCTGACAATGAATAAATGTATATAGTAATGTATATTATTTTGTTTGACTGACCTATTAAGGTTAATGGTGTAATCTTATGCATAAATGAGCTCACGACTGAAAACTGAATAAATAAATAAATATGTATACACACAGTCATACATAAATAAATAAATCGGTCACAGCACATGGTCACAGTGAATAAACGCACCTGCAGAGGCGACCATTATTAACACACAGTACAGAAGCACCCCACCCGCTCTCTCTCTCTCACACAGCTGATCTGAGGCAAGTCGTTCCTGCCCTCTCTCACACCCGCTCAAAAAAAAAAAACTCATAAAATTCACATCCTCATATAATACATCTTTCATACTCTCATAAAATTACTCCAGAAATTACACATAAGACGACCGTAACTTGATGCAGTAAATTGTCATATATTCATCACTTAACGAGTATTTTGACAATTTGGTCACTGTTTACTGGGAGGAGGAGAAGGAGGAGGTGGGAGAGTTAGTGGGTGTGTGAGAGAAAACTACTGGATTAGTTCAAGAATGACATAAACAATACAAAGACAAAGACATACAGACATAGACAAAGACACACACACACACACACGTAGGCATAACAATAAACATCTCAGAAGACACGAGACATTCACCACTGACGGGCATCTGGGTCGAGCACAGACCACCTGTTGCATGATGATTAGGAAGATTCAGGTAGACAGGAATACAAGCTGCTTGGTCAATGTTGTAAGGTGAGATAACCTGCAACATTTACCTGTCCTCCTGCATAATATATCACTCAGAAGGGCTTCCAAGATAGCACAGAACATTAGGAAGCACTAGATGAACTCCAAGATAACAGGGGTGACCTCCAAGATAAAACAGGTGACCTTCAAGATAAAACAGGTGACCTCCAAGATAACAGGGGTGACCTCCAAGATAAAACAGGTGACCTTCAAGATAAAACAGGTGACCTTCAAGATAAAACAGGTGACCTTCAAGATAAAACAGGTGACCTCCAAGATAACAGGGGTGACCTCCAAGATAAAACAGGTGACCTTCAAGATAAAACAGGTGACCTCCAAGATAACAGGGGTGACCTCCAAGATAAAACAGGTGACCTTCAAGATAAAACAGGTGACCTCCAAGATAAAACAGGTGACCTCCAAGATAAAACAGGTGACCTCCAATATAACACAGGTGACCTCCAATATAAAACAGGTGACCTTCAATATAAAAAAACAGGTGACCTTCAAGATAAAACAGGTGACCTCCAAGATAAAACAGAGTGACCCCCAAGTAACAGGTGACCTCCAAGATAAAACAGGTGACCTCCAATATAACACAGGTGACCTCCAATGTAAAACAGGTGACCTCCAATATAAAACAGGTGACCTTCAAGATAAAACAAGTGACCTTCAAGATAAAACAGGTGACCTCCAATATAAAACAGGTGACCTCCAAGATAAAACAGGTGACCTCCAAGATCAAACAGGTGACCTCCAAGATAACACAGGTGACCTCCAATATAAAACAGGTGACCTCCAATATAAAACAGGTGACCTCCAAGATAAAACAGGTGACCTCCAAGATAAAACAAACAACCTCTTCCATATTAGGAGAGAAATTCTATAATATTATATCATATAAGAACAAGTACCCTTTAACCTGTTCTAAACTGAAAAAAAAATGACCTTATGAGAACTAATATTCAGTGTAATGTATATAAATAATCTTGGTTATAATATGTAAAAAAATATAAAATAATAATCACTTTCATTATCATCTATGATATAACTTTTAAATTTATGTTTAACACTGCATATTATGTTTTGTAAATCATAAACATTCCTTAAAACATTTTCCTTGTATGATTATAAACATTTTACATACTACACAGTCCCTGTAAACCACGTCTAACCTAAAAAACACATCACTAAACACCTATTGGAATTAACATAAAAAATATAACTTATCTGTAACTACCATAAACATTACATAAACATCTCCCCTATACCATTGATATAACATCTTCATCCTGTAGTCATATAAAACTGATGTGAGGTAATGTTTATCTCACCCTTGTCTCCATATATGAGGCAACACAAGACTCATACACCATTAATATATATATATAAATTCTTGCTATATGGACCTTTTTATTACACACACACACACACACAGGTAAAATGTCTTCAGATATCCTTGACAGACCAGAACATGTGACACTTCTTACATCTGGCCGTCTTGTGCTGAAGGTGTGAGCATTGACCCCTGTGAGCATTGACCCCTGGGAACATTGACCCCTGTGAGAATTGACCCCGGGGAACATTGACCCCTGTGAGCATTCACACCTGGGAACATTGACCTCTGTCAGCAATGACCCGTGAGCATTCACCCCTGGGAACATTGACCCCTGTAAACATTGACCCCTGTGAACATTGACCCCTGTGAGCATTGACCCCTGGGAACATTGTTGGTAACCCCTGTGAGCGTGGCCCTGGGGTGTGACCCTTGTGAGCAATTGACCCTGGGAACGTGACCCTGTGAGCATTGACCCCTGGGAACATTGACCCCTGTGAGAATTGACCCCGGGGAACATTGACCCCTGTAAGCATTCACACCTGGGAACATTGACCTCTGTCAGCAATGACCCGTGAGCATTCACCCCTGGGAACATTGACCCCTGTAAACATTGACCCCTGTGAACATTGACCCCTGTGAGCATTGACCCCTGGGAACATTGACCCCTGTGAGATTTGATCCCTGTGAGCATTGATCACTGTGAGCATTGACCCCTGTGAGCATTGACCACTGTGAGCATTAACCCCTGGGAATTGACTATGAGCTTTGACCCCTGGGAACATTGACCCCTGGCTGAGATTTGATCCCTGTGAGCATTGATCACTGTGAGCATTAACCCGTGAGCATTGCCCCTGGGAACATTGACCCCTGGGAACAGTGACCCCTGTGAACATTGACCCGTGAGCATTGACCCCTGTGAGCATTGACTCCTGAGACATTGACCCCTGTGAGATTTGATCCTGTGAGCGTGATCACTGTGAGCGTGACCCTGTATGAGCGTGACCACTGTGAGCATTGACCCCTGGGAATTGACTATGGCTTTGACCCCTGTGACGTGACCCTTGTGAGCAATGAGCCGTGACCCTTGGAAATATTGACCCCTGTGAGCATTGACCACTGTGAGCATTAACCCCTGGGAATTGACTATGAGCTTTGACCCCTGTGAGCACTGACCACTGGGGAATTGACCCCTTTAAGCTTTGACCCGTGAGCATTGACCCTTGTGAGCAATGAGCCGTGACCCTTCGAAATATTGACCCCTGTGAGCATTGACCCCCATGAGCATTGACCTCTTTGAGCAATGACTTCTGGGAATATTGACCCCTGGAAGCATTGACCCCTGTGAGCATTGACCCCTGGGAGCATTGGCCCCTGTGAATATTGACCCCTGAGAATATTGACCTATGTGAGCATTGACTCCTGTGAACATTGACCCCTGTGAGCATTGACCCTTATGAGCATTGACTCCTGTGAGCATTGACCCCTGCAAGCATTGACCCCTGTGAATATTGACCCCTGAGAATATTGACCTATGTGAGCATTGACCCCTGTGAACATTGACCTCTGGGAACATTGACCCCTGGATTCTCAAATGTTCATAAGTTAATGTAAAATATCCCTTTAACTATTAATGTGAGAAAGAATAGGATTAAATCCATCATTATTTAGATGGACGACTTTGGTGAAGAAATTAGATAACATTCAGGAGGAAGATTTAACGTAACAACCATCGTTAATCGAACTTTGTGTCGTAGTTTAAATGAGACAGTTATGAGCGATCTCACTTCACCAGTTATCGTAGAAAATAACTTAAGGTAAATAATGTGTGTGTGTGTATGTGTGTGTGTGTGTGTGTATGTGTGTGTGTGTGTGTGTATGTGTGTGTGTGTGTGTGTGTGTGTGTTTTCTT